AATTCTCTGAAAATAAATTAATATTTACGTAAAATTGTTGTATCTTTCATTCATTGGAAATGTGCTACAGTGGGAAAATTAAGAATGTCATTGTCCACGTTTGTCGTAATGGACCTTTGAAACAACACGATCGACCGGGAAACTAGCAGAAACAGTGAAACTGCAGGTCGAACTTCGCAATTTTTACAAATTGTGAATAAATATACTGTATGAAATGGTATTGTGGGGAAGTTTGTGTTTTCAACTTTGGCGAATGGAAATGATGGAATTCAGTGTTGATTTTTTTTTTAAATCGCTGATGTGCTGTTTTATTTCTGGTCGGCGCCACACTTAATGAAAATAGATCTTCGAAAATGAAATTATGATGCCATATGTGAACTAAATAAAAAATTGGTATACTCCTAGTCTAAGTTCCGGGTCCCTGTAAAGCTCGGTGGATTTTGTGTGTACTGCGACCTGTGAATGGGCATATACATATTCACGCAATCCTGTTGTTACATTGTATCATGGAGGTACTAGGAATATGATGTAACCTTGCCGATTTTTTTGATTTTTTAACGTGACCATATTATATATGTCTAGACACTTTCTCTGCAATAATATTTGTTAGGAGTCCTTAGGATTTTTTGTTGTAGACTCTCAAAATCTTGTTCTTGTTACAGTTGCTAATAATTAAAACATGTGAAATCTGTGAAGTAACAAGTTTGTCTGTTGAATTTTTGGTTGTGGAATACGTATTTCAACCCTTCACATCTAAACAAACCCAGTGTATGGTCGCGTTAAACAAAATGAGACCAAGAAATCGTCCAGGGCGATTTTTCGGCAGTTTTCAATTTTTTTTTTTTAATATATTGTCGTAATTTATCGGACATTTCAATCGTTCCTGACGCCTAAATCAGTCTATTTAAGTTTTTATTTAAGGTAGCGAGAAGGGAAACACAAGTTATAGTTCGATTGAGATTAGGACTTTCCTTGCCAGTTACTAAGCATGCAGTTATGGCAATGTATATGTTTTCAGAAAGCTGAGATATAGCAGAATATGATCATATATGTTTCGTCTTTATATTTGCTCAGGGGATTAAGTTACGATCGTTCCCGTGAACCTCCTAAACACAGAGTTTTTTTGCGGGATTGGCCGTTCCTCTGTGTTCCTTTTTTCTGTGTTTCTGATCTTTTCACTGTTGCTTTATAAGATAATAATCTTTGAAATTGCGTCCATTGAACTTTATGGACTACATTTTATGATCGTCTCCATGTTCTCAAGGCCGTAACTCAACGTCAACGGCTCACATAAACGTCCATGAGACATCATATTTTAGCCCATTTTGTGGCAAATAGATTGTGTAATTTGTACATCGTTAACGCAGAAAAAAGTGGTAAAAAATGACATCTTCAATAGTTATGATAGTCAAAAAATAGTTTCCATAAAAACTCAATAAATTGTTTCTTCGAATTTGGCCACAGATAAACAGCTAAGTTAATAACCAAATGTCTACCAATTCGATCATACTTTGTAAATATACAAGTATCTGAGCTGCGTGGACAGTTACATCGTGAAAAATTGGTTGGTTGTTCCTTAAAAAGCGACAAAACTTAGCAGTTTCATCGAACGTGGGTGCTAAATTGAACAAGATGGCGTACCGCGCAGTTAATTTATTCAAGTCCCTTTGTTATGTTGAACAGCGTCAACATTACAATCGGTTCTCTAAACATGGGCGGCCCATCGTGGCAGCATATATTTACTAACGGGATATACATGCCTTCAAGTACAGATATGTTTACTTTATGCCTATGAAGAGTGTATCATTATCAGATCAATTAGCTCCAAGTCAGCACTAGATAGTTGTTTTTCCTACCGATGAAAAAGGAAATGTTGGCCATAGTCACAGAGACCACGAGCGGGATGGTGTTGAAGAGTCTACTAGAGCGACCGCTTGTTGAACTCGACCGAACAATTTCCGCTTTATTTTCGACCGCGCAAACCCGCTAGCCCTTATTTAAAATTCGGACTAACAAACAATTTTCGAGGTTCGCATTTTCTAATAATTGTCTTTCTGGTTTTCATACATGTAGATGTTGAACAACCGTCAAAAGTTCAAATATTTTTGGTTTTAACTATCTATAATTATAATTATATGAACGCAATCTGACCCTTTGACCTCGATTTGGCTGGGATTGAATATTTTATTTTAAACAATATTCTGACGTGAAATACAAAATGTATGGTAAATGTAAACACAAGTACGGCATCGTTGTCTGCGTTTTCTTTCCTGTTTGTTGAGTCTTCGCAATGTGTTTGTATATCGAAAGAATGTCCACTCTTTTTTGACGCCGGAAAAATATCAGTCGCAGAGTTGCATTTTTGATTTTTGCACTTATAGTAAAAATGGCTCCCCCAGCCATGTCGGATGTTCGTGTTTTCTGCCAAAACGACATCAATATATCACTGCCAATTTTGTTTACAGACTGTAACTCTACCATGATGAGTGAAATAGCGTCTGTATCTTGGATTTCCATCTCGTTGCCATCGCCGACAATTTTTGCGCAGAACTTTTGTTGCTACTGTCGACTGGCTCGTCTTTAAACCACTCTGTGGGTTGACTGTAATATGAGCCCAGGTCACTTTCATTTAGATATCTTTTAACGGCGTCAGACATTTTTCGTCATCTTGGAACTCCTTCCCATGATATATTAGTTTATTAAAACACTGAGAAAAGCTTGAATACGATAGCATAATGTACAGATATAAACTGGAATGGCCCAATAAAGCTGGATGGTCAACAAATCAGTATGCAAATTAAATCCTTTGTCTTCAGTCTGTCACTCAACATGATGTGTAAACGCATGGAGGACGTGTTCACCCACAACTAGATTTCCGGGAATAAACTAAAATTGCGCAACAAAAACACCGCGCACTGTAAATCTGGATGAAAGATAAAGAAAGTACACAACATAATGTTTCATAATCTGATTTTTTTTCAAATGTTTTTCTTCTTCCAGTTTTCCCCTCTCGCTACCTTAAAAGGTGTTTATTGTGACTAGCGTAAGCTTCGTTTGGACAACGAGCTGTTATCATTGTAAACAATGTTAAATTATCCTATTTATACTAAGTTTATCTTTGAAAACAACTATTTTTTTATTTAAAAAAAATCATGCCATTTTCCCATCAACATCCAAGCCAAAAAAGTGTACGTACTACAAAATCGGCAAATCTCTTCCGCGTTGCGTTCAATAACATTAACATATTTAAATGAGCTACTAGTATGGTGATTTGAACGCGTTGGCATCATCCAGCATTTTGATTTGGTTAATTAGCGATTTGACCCATTAGCTCAACTCGTGCACGAGAAACATGCCGGATACCCTACCACATCAAGCGTTTATATGCGATCGGAATCATTTGCTTACGATGAAACTAAGTTGGATTTTATTTGAATTTCATAACAATCAACGAATTTATTTTTTGTGTGTTATCATAATCACTACTGAATAATAATCAACAATTGTGAAACGCAGCATGTCCGGATTGAGCATCTGTGTTCGCTTGCCGGGATCGCTTGCTGCTAGGCAATCCAGTTGTGTTCATTTATATTAGAAACGTTGTTTAAAATATACTTTTGTTACCAATAAAATAAAAATGACACTGGGCGCCACTGTAATGAAATTTCAGGCAGTCTACTTTTTAATTCAGCAAGAATTATTAATTATTGTTAATTCTGCAATAGTTTCTTTCGTCTTTGGTGGCCCAACTGACGGCGTAGAAAGTCTGTGTAGTTGGATCATGGACGTACTAGAGACTCTAGTACATCCATGGTTGGATACAATGAAAATGGAAGTCCCCCTAAAATATTTTATGATTATTTTTTGAAATTTTGAACCCCAAATAAGCGCCCACCAGCCGTGAAATCCCAAGGGCGATTTTTTGGATGGGCGAATTTACGGTATTATATATAAAGAAAGTATTAATTATTATGGACATCTCGCGCATATTGCCGATGTTTTATACTGTTTGTAGTTTGCATATGAAAGTGGTTGTTGATGCTCCTCCTATTATTCGACGTCGTTGACAATGCCACTCGCACTGTGCACATCTTAGCACTAGATCTAGTGCAATTTTAGCGCTAGATCTAGTGCCATTTTAGCACTAGACCTAGTAGTTTTTCGGATTAGTGCTACTAGCACTAACCACTCGTACTACGCCCATTTCGATACATTTACATACATGTCACATTATATAATTCATCTATAAACAAAGAAAAAAGAACAGGACTCAATACACTGCCCTGTCTAACACCAATAGTACAAGGAAAGTAATCAAAAATCCCACCATCAAATCTGATGCACGATTTGACATCACTGTACATTGACTTGACAATGGTTAACATTTTACCTGATATACCAATATTGTGTAATTTGATAAAAAGTCGGCTATGGTCAACAGAGTCAAAAGCTCTGGCAAAATCAACGAATATACAGTAAAATTTTCCTTATTTTTTTCTAACATAATTTTGAACGATTGCATACAAGACCAATATGTTGTCAACAGTACAAAAGCCTTTATGAAATCCTGCCTGCACTCCAGAGATGGTCCCAGTATCCTCTGCCCATCATTCATAAAGTCTGTTGTTTAGTATGCTACAGAATATTTTCCCGAAGACATCCAATAATGTGATTCCCCTGTAGTTATTGGGATCAGATTTTGAACCTTTTTGCAGGAAATTTCTCGTTTCAAAAACATCGTTAAATAATTCACTCATGAGTGGTAATAAATGATTTACAGAGGATTTATTGAACCATGGTGGTTGGTTGTTCATATTTTTAGAGGTACCGCGACATCCATCTCG